AACAGACCGAGTTGGGTCCTAGGAGGTCCTGGAGCGTGGTGATCAAGAGAGGGAATGCCGGCTCGAAATAGACGCAGTCTGCCGCAATGATGACATCTGGTTTCGAAGGAATCTGGTTTGGGATCGGTTCTCCCCAGTTAAGTATCGCAGCAGTCGCATTCGCGCCGAGATTGTTTAGTTGGATGTTGGACTTCATTAGGGAAAACATAGGCTCTTGGTCTGTGATATAAATCGGCTGTTCGATATGACACCCGCGTGCCACGGCGAGTCCAACAAGGCCACCTCCAGCGCCAAGTTCCACGCTATTGAAAGATTGGATTAGGACGAAACGAGAAGAAATGGAAATGTGCCCCGGTTCGGGCAGTCACCCACATTGTTTTGTCGGATAGATCGGTGGCGTGACGACTGAGGAGGTATTTGGCCAAGGCCATCCCGGCTGGCCATAATTGGCCACCGCATCCATCTTTAAGATCTTCTTTTAGTAGCAATGGTTCTTTGAGGAGGCCGTCGAATGAGACGTCTGTGGTCACTGCGGCTTTGAGTTCGCGTGGAGGGGCCAGGGAATCGTTGACTCTAAGTCCATCTGGACTTGAGGGTGGGCTCGATTCTGGGCCCGGGAGAGTCGGCATTGGTATCTCTATCATTCTTCGGAATATTTGTGAAATTGTTGATTGTTGATTGTTAAGCGGAGAAAGTTTTTAGTGGGGGATCTCCTAAGTAGCTTATCGCAAATTAGACCTAGAAGGATCACATGATTGGTTGGGTGGCGATTTGGCTATTAATATGGATCGAATGTAAGAGCAAAATCAAAAGATTGAAATTGTGTGGTTTTTCTTAGTTTGTGCAAGTCAATATTCGAGGTCTACCATGTGCATTGTATATACACTAAATCCAGCCAAGACAAGCTTGGGCCCGTGCGAACGTAGATCTATGTTGATACTCGTGTTCTTATTGACGTAATAGGTCATCGAGGGTTGTTTTAAAAGTAAATACTAATAATGATTTACTAGATCTAAATATGGCTATATACAACATACAAAAAAGGTACCATAAAGCTTGCGTGGGGACTTTTTATCGAATGAGACTTGGCGATCTATGTGGGTTCACTTTTTACCTAATTACTCGATGACCTTGAAATATGGATCTAACGTCTACCTACCAGAGCACAGGACTGTCAAACAGGACTATCAAGAGTGTTACATCCATGCTTTGAGTGTTCAACAGCCGACTATAGGCCCCAACACAATAAAAACTACATGCCACGAGCAGTAGGAAAGAAAATTGGAATACATTGATGTCATTGTCGTGTACATTTACATCCATTAACTAAGTGTTAAGTTAAGCGCAAGCTTGAGGTACATCTGATCACAACCAGCCAGAAGTTCTTGCTTGACCAATCATCTCACAATTTTCAATCCTTTAGTCGAATGGGTGAGTACGTGTTCCCCACCAGGTGAGGAACAAACTGAGTCCAACAGTCTCGAACACTCTCGAAACCGCACCGACAGCGATAGTATCGAGGGGTCGCTTCTCGGAGAAGACCTGGCTCACAACCTATATATATTCGTCAGAGGAATTGTCTGGGGGGGTTGTAAAGGAGGATTAATTGGGAACGTACGCCTGGAGCTGAGCTTGCGAAGAAAATAAGTGTACCTAGGTATGCAGCACCCTTATAGCTCAGTGTACCGGTGGCATTGATCAGTGCAGCGACACCGTAGGTCTGCACGGCACTTCCAACAAGGGAGCTTCCCCAGGCTGCGGCTGCGCCGGCAGCCTCCTTGGACTTGATGAATTCCTCCTTGGAGTTGGCGGCTTGAGCGCGGTGGTAGGTGTCACCGAAGACGGGGGCTAGGATTCCCAGGGAGGCAGTGTGGGTGAAGATTGTACCCAGCGCAATGGCGGAAGGTTTCACGGGGGGGAGATCTATATGGTAGAGGTTGTGAGTTTCCAAGTAGAGGATAATGAGGATAATTAGGATATCAACTCACAATGCAGAGTAGTCATTTTGAAGTTATTAGGAGTAGTTGTAGAGAGGAAGTAAAGTCGAAGAGCCAAAGTACTTTAAGTACAGGGCGTTTCTGCAACCAGGGTTTGTGAGGTGACGTCGTCATGATTCAGCGCGTAGGATGCGGAGGGCCATGACGTCAACTCGCATTATGGGGTTAGCTACTTTGCACATTCAAGGTTTTTAGACGAGATCAAGATGGGGAATGTTGGAGACTTATCGTACAAAATAAGTTCAAATGAGCTACGTTATGTGTAAATTAATCAATTACGCTGTAGGCGAACCCTTGGGGGTCCTCGAGAAGTATGCAGGTGCACCATTATAGATCATTATTTCGCCATCTAGATGAGATCGCACATCAATTAATTTTCATGAAGAACTTCTTCGTTGGAAACTAGCCTAAGTCATCTAGAAAGGTTCATCAATACCGGGCTCCTGTATGATTCGTTCCCCTCTGAGGTGCCATCGGCACTATCCATGCCAGATCCGGACATGTATGTAGATCAAGGGTGATTGGCAAGTTGGCAAGTTGGCAAGCCCGCAATACATGACACATATAGTACAATATATAGCAAAAGACCACATTAGATCCACAGGGCCGTTTTACACAATTTCAATTTTCATATTCCCCTTTCAGTTCTACATCTAACCCAGAACTTGATTGTGTTTTCTGGGGATCTTTCAAGCGGGGACAAAAAGCTGGGTCCAATCAAAGTCCAAGGATGTACGATATACTCTCTTTTACCACCTAATGGTGCTGCACAGCTGCTTTATGTGTATGAATGGTATTCCACTAGTGCCTATTGTCAATAAAACAAAATGTGAGCACCTCGGGTATGTGTTTATAGCTGCTACTTGCTGAACTTGCAATTGCGACTCGAAAGTTATGAAAACTAAAATGAAAATGTATTTCCTTGCAGAATGTGCTGGTCTAATCAAACAAAGGTGCGGCAGGTATATCTGCGTAAAATGGTTAGCCCGGATCGATAGAATGGAGAATTGAAGATACATACTTCTCGGGGTAGCCGTTCTCTGTACCAAGCTCGTACTTGGATTGTGAAGGCTTCGGGGCAGCGTTGATGTTGGCAGGGTTGGGAGGCAAGCCATTGGCACCCAAAACACCCTGAACGCTCTTCTTATCTTGCTCAAAGAGAGCCGCGAGGCCGCGTTCTTCGCCCTGCTCCTTGACAGCAATCAACTGCTGCTCTCCAGCCTGTCCAATTTTGAGAACATCGTCCTTGGGGGCTGCCTTGCTTCCGACTGTGAGCAGACTAACGGCGTCGGCCTGGCGCACGGTGCTCAGCTGGGGGTAGCTCCTCCGGACGTCCCGCTTCCAGTATGGGTTGTCGGCGATATCGCCCGCGGGGAAGGTGACTGGGTCATCGTAGGCAAGAGGGGGTACAGATCCCGGGGTGGGGGTACGGAATTGAGAGTTCAGAGGAATACCCGTGGAACGTTCAGGGTCAACAGCGAGAAGGCGACGAATGCGCTCCCAGATTCCGGTGGACTGGACTGTGTATTTCTAGACCGAGAAGAGGATTAGCACTTAACACACGGCCGTGGAGTCTGATCTCCTTCTTCCTATCAATATGGCCTACCTGGCTGATAGAGATGACATTGGATGCCGACTTGGCGGCATTCACGATACCGCGGGCCATGGTGAGAAGACTCTGACCTATGAGTTAATATCAGCCCATTGACACACAAAGTCCCGGAAGTTGTGAGGGGCAGAATTGGGTCTGTGTCCTCGAGTCATTTGACTTACTGCCTGAAATCCCTGAAATCCGTCAAGAGTCCGTAACAAGCCTTTAGATTGAGCCGGTGCGTCGAGGTAACTCCGGAGGTGCGATCACTGGCACGGATTATCTTGTTGCCGAGCCACCACACAAATTCTTGTATTAGTAATTCGACTGATAGTCTTCAGCTTTCAATGATTGGCAAAAGCAACGGGCTCAATATGATGAGTCTATGTCTTTCAATAAGAAAATACTGGAACAGGGGTTACTAGAGAGAGCATAAGGGTGGAAGAACGAGGAGTGCTGAGGGAGCGGTACTACTAAACCGTTGACACCTTAGGCGTCAATCTCTTGTCGCCGTATCGTAAGCATACGGGGTCCAATCAATGGGGTTCAAATCTCAGTATTTCTGTATCGGTTGTTATGGAGCCTTGACTGCATAACATAAATTACAAAACATGGAGGATCAATAAATCCTCCGGTATGCCGATGTCCTTGCGCCGACATCTATAACAATGATGTTTCGGCCTTCAGATCGAGACTTCAGATGACGCTTAAATAGAGAAACCTTCCGATATTGTGCTTCTTTTTGACCGCAGAGTAAAACTGGGCACGCCCCTGGGTATTACCCGGCGGCGAACGACCGGGCGTTCACTTCTACAAGCGGACTTATAGGTGGCTTTATCAAGGATAATGAAGAGTTTCGAGAATTTATGGTAGTCAGTGTTACATTAAACCTGGCTCTGACGGTAAATCTACATAATCACGAACTTTCGCATATTTCCATAGACTAGTTACATAGATAGGTGTGATCTATAGAGGCGACTAGACGATACTGCTAAATAATTAGATATCCAGATGAACCAGAAGCTTGTCAATAACTTCTTACGACTTCATTGTCGCGTGGCCCGGTAGTTACACTAACTACGTATGTAATTTCAAGCTTCCCGATATAAATTGCCCCCTTAGCCTCCCAGAAGTCAAATCCTCAAACTAGCCGTAGTATTCCAATGGATTTTTCGGCCTTGATCCATATTCGACTTCGATATAATTTGAATGTACATGGTATGGAGTCTCTTGAACGGCAAGGAGAAAATATTTCGTCCATGTGGTACGAAAATATAAATATAAATACAGACAATCATTAAGCGATTAATATAATCGTAACTGTTTCATTCAATGTCGAGAAAACATCTATGGATGATCTTCTAGTGAAACATGTCGTTAAAGAAATATCTATCTAAACAAAATATAAGTGACTAGAAAAGCCACGCGAGACTTTTTCTGTAAACCTTCTTCCAGCCAGACAAGTTCTGTTCCTCGATGGCCATCATAGCCACGTATTCGGCCTCTTCGCGGTCAATTTCGGCCTTGCCAGTCCAGATATCGGCATTGTGGGGCTTGACAATCTCAGTCCTCTTCCAAAGCTTCCACCCAGCAAAGGCCATGACATAGAGGGGGATTCCAATGTATGAAGTGATGAAGGTCTTGTAGTCAAAGTTGCCGTATTTTTCCGGGTTGTGGATAAACACACCGAAGCTACGAGTGAAGACCACCAAGACACAGAAAAACAGCGCAACGCAGGAACCGATGATTCCCAGGGGAGCCTTGTAGGCCAGTGTTGCCTCGTCGACACCCTGTGCACGTCGGGCGCGGATGAAGAAGATGTGAGTAATCAAGAGGGAGATCCATGTCAGCACTGTGATAGCAGGTCAGCATACTGGACAAATTTCGAGTTATTTCTGGGAGAATCGAGGGAAGGGAACTTACACCCGAAGATTGACACCATGTCGGTGAAGTATCCGAAAACATCCTTGGAGCCACTAGAGACACTCATAAAGGCGAGCAAGCAGAAAGAGGATGATAGTGCCAGAGCATAGATTGGGACACCAGCTCGGTTTGTGCGAGCAAAGATTTTAGGGGCCTTCTTCTCGCGGGCAAGACCGTACAGAGTTCGAGTCGCAATGTACAGATCGGAGTTGGCGGCGGAAAACACAAACACCAGGATACAGCCGTTGATGATGTGAGGAAGAGCGGCGACTTGCTTCATTGCCACCACGAAAGGAGAGGCAGCAGCAGAGCTCTTGGCCTTGGTTGCGAAGACCAGATCTGGAGAGTTGTATGGAACCAGCATACCGAGGAAGAGCACGCTGAGAATGTAGAACACAATAATTCGCCAGAAGGTGAGCTTGATGGCTTTGGGGATGGTCTTCCGGGGGTTCTGAGCCTCTCCGACGGTCACACCAATAAGTTCGGTACCTGGTAAAAAAAGAAAATTAGAAGGTGAGATGGGGTAATTTCAATCACAGAATGCCCATACCGAGGAATGCAAAGGTGGCCTGCACCATGGTCGACCAGAAAGCAAGGAATTTTCCAAGGGAACCACCGGTGTATTTAGTAGCGAAGGCGCCAGGTTCACTCCAGTAACGGAAACCTCTCCTGTCGTGGTCGGGACCACCACCAAGTGCAAAGATGAAAGAGCACAGAATGAGTCCCAGAATGACAATCACCTTGAAGGATGAGAGCCAAAACTCGAGTTCACCGAAAATCTTGACGCCGAAGTAATTGATGACGATAATTGCCACCATAAAGATGGCAATCCAAACACCAGGATTGACATTCTCTGCCGATGTTTTCGGCCAATAGGTAATGACTAAAGCGGCGGCAGTGAGTTGGGTAGGTGGTAGGATAATATATTTGAGGTAGTAGCTAGGAGATGATTAGATTCGCCGATTTATATTAGCTGGAGAATGAATTGTACTCACCACCATCCGAGGGTGAATCCGAGAGCAGGGTCACAGAAACGGCCAGCGTAACCAGTGAAACCGGAAGACAATGGTAGCCAAGCAGCCATTTCACCCAGTCCACACATGACCGTCCAAACGACGAAACCCATAAAGCAGTATGCAATAAGCAAAGATCCAGGCTGATTGAAAATGATTAGTTAATTGAAAAGATAAATTGGATGAATATCACATACTCCGGCTCTGAAGGTTCCAAATTACAGTCAGTGGTGCTTCATAAACGATTGCATCAGAAAAACTCACGTCAAAGCGCTGCCAGTACCAACAACCAATCCAGTGCCGATTGCACCACCGATGGCAATCATAGAAATGTGACGAGCCTTGAGCTCTCTGTGAAGCTGAACCGGCTCATCCTCTACACTTTCTTTAAAATCTCCCGAGGTGTCAATGTAGTCGGGTTGCGCCTCGAGGGCGTTAATCTCGTCTGGGTGCCCCATCTTGCTATAAGCCGAATCGAGAATTCAAAGATGAATAGAATCAGACCAAGACAGCGGGGGCCGCGAGGATTAAATGTACCAGCCCAGCACACAGTTTTTAAGCGAATTCCGGGGTCACATTTTACGGTTATCTATGTATCTCCTGTTTCGCCCCTTCCGGTGGACACCAAATCCTGGAGAGGGCCATGTGGGGTTATGTCAGGTTCATGATCCAGTATTTCCTTTATGTAACTTTTTCCTCTGGGAAGCGGATAAAAAGTCAATTTGCGAATATATCCCGGGGCCTTCGGGGCAATAACTGATCTTATTGGTCTTACCATTTTCTCCAACTCATTCCCCCGCAATATTTCCCCCACAGAATTGAATACATGACAGCAAGAAACTGTTTCCCCCATTGAATGTATTCGTATCTTTTAAAGTTGTTCCTTGGCCCGCTTAGAAAGTCCTATACAGGCTTTGGAAAGGTTAGCATAGCCTCGCAGTATCTGGTCCGGTAAATGTGCCAAGTCCAGCCACTCTGGGTGGTGGTGTTGGTGTGCTTGGCACTCTTGGCACTCTTGGCACGCTTACCTACGGGATAAGAAAATCTCGACTACGGAGTAAATGATAGCGAGATCTACAACATATATACCGGCCCACATGCTCAATCCTTTATCAGTGGTATCCCTGCTATGTTTCACTCATTTTCCATGTGTGTACCTGCATAGAATGTTGGAGGATAAAACACATATTATTTAATTTACAGCACAATCTAACCTCGAAACTGGCTAACACATCCAAAAGTCAAAGACGGGAAGTGAGGTTAGTGTGTTCGGGCTAGGCTTCTCAAGGTCAGTAAATTTTCCCCACAAGTGTTTAGTAATAGATATCACCAACCTTGGAGGCTCCTCTAGCCATGATAAGGAGTCTTGGCCAAGTATAGCCCGCCAACAAGGTTGATTTAGTCCGAGGGTTTGATTCGTATGAGATCTACAATAAGGAATCGCTGTTAACTTGGTGAATGGGCTGATGGCTAAGATTCTAAAAATATTATTTGAGAGGCGTAAAAAGGTTACCACTACTCCGTACATAGTTATGCTTTTATAACGGAGGCGTTACGGCTCAGGAAACAGAGTTTTTAGAGCCTATCTGAGCGCAAAGATTTCTCTTTTTACTTTGGGAGGCAAACGCTAAAAAAATTTGAAATTGAAATTAAAATAAACTCAACCCACTTACACAAAGTCTCTTATCAGTACAGATTACAGTTTATGTCGAGATAGTGCACGGACCGGACGGTAGATCAACTCATTCCCGAGGTCGGACCTTGGCCAGAACGACTAGAACTTCCAAGAGCTTCCAACATATCTATCTTCGCAAAATTCCGAGTCGTGAAGCAAAATCCCGAGGCCGTGCACGACGCTCTTCAATAACATTTGCGCCCCGTTTAACGGGTAGTGGTTAATATCAAGATTAAGGTTTTATTTGAGTAACTTAGAATTGCTGTGGCTTTCAAACGTTCAAATGTAAAATTCTCCCTATTATCAACATTGAGATTTGTTAGTTAGGAATCTTAACTAACTTCATATTTTGGGGTTTACTATCCCCTTAATAGTCTTAAGAACCTTGGTAGGTTATATATTTCGGTTTCGGTTCGAAGCCGGGACATATGCTTAGGGAGTCCTCGAAAGGTATATTTGAGGCATTATAGACATATACTACTATGTAGGCTGTCAATGTTTGTGAGGGTAGAAGCCTATCAGAATATGATAATTGATAGACATTGGAAGTAGTTAGAGAGCAAAGACCTCTAGAATAACCGGCTACAGCTTTTGTTTGTTGTATACTACGCCGATTAGACATTAGCGTCGGTAATAGAGATGAAAGCCCTTCGGCCTAATCAAAGTAAAAGTACGTCCACGGGTTACATCCTACAACAAGCATGGACCCCATGTCTCGTTTCTTTGTAAAGAACTTCCCTATACCTAGCACCTCAAGGGAAATAATTGATATGCTCAAAAACCAACTTCCTAAGCTCCGGTCATCTATCATCCTCCACCTTATTATTTCCCTCACGCCAGTATAAGAATGAGACACAGCCCCTGTACTCTCTGCTATGTACTCTCATCCTTGCCTTCCTGTCGTTACTTTCTATCGAGGCTTTCTATCAATTCACCGAATCTATCAAGATAGACCAAAGGAAAATCGTTTCACGACGCAGTCCCTTCCGTGCCACGTTTTGGATAACATCCATTCTCCTGATGCATTTGCTAAACGCCTACACGACTCCTCCACAACCCGCACCTCAGAACGAACGAGGATGTGGAAAGATATAGGATGGAAAACTAGGTGCAGTTGCAAGTGAATGTGCGCTCTGTAGCCGATATGGAACAGATATGCTGTGAGTAGAGGCAATGCCGCCGATGCTGTAAGTGTGTCCTCTTTCCCTGCATGTGCTAATATACCCATGGGGACTTAATTAATAAGCTCGAAGCAATTATAGTTGGTCACCGTGGTCCTCCAGTGTCACAGGCAGGGCATAATTACGGGTACACAACGAGCCACATCCGGCTATCGGATTCTAGGCAGTCATTATTTTCCCGATTGGGGCGCTGCCGCTTTACGTGCTCAAGGTCTCCCTCACTGAGTACTCGGTGTATATTTCACAGCGCAGAGTGGTCACTTACATACATAGTGAACGCTCGCTCAAAGTGTGTTTATTAATGTTCAAACAATGTGGCTTGACTGAGCTCGGGAGCGGGAAGTGTGCATGAAGCGCTAAGAAAATCTACTTCCCATGATATTGCTGGATTTGAGATAGAATTAGAATACCTTTAATAGCACAATTGTGGCAAAGGTTGGATGCTTCAACCATGGAGACTATTAGGACAAAATGGAGTACGTATCTCGGATGTGTAAATGTGTGATAAGACAAACAAGATACAGCAGGCTCGGTGGGTTTCTTTTAATAGCGATTAGGATACTCCATTGACTAGAAATATGATGCCAGCAGGCATGTCTCTGCTCGAATACACTCCATTAAATAACATGAAAGCCAAGATAAAGCGATTAGATGAGTGAAGCTGGCTAAACGCTGGAGTGCCTAGGGTATATCATCGACAAATTCATCATGTAGCGCCCTGCCAAAGAATATTAAGATAAATGTAATACCCTTTCATCGACCCTCTCCAGATTCCGGCAACTCGTGGACAGTATCTTTGTGGCTAGGTAGCTCTGAGACAGAACCTCGGCCGTCTAACTCGCTCGGTATGCCCGGGGGCTGAAGAGACTCGTGCTGCAACATTGATGCTTCGGTGATGGGCATCTGCGTTTGGGGTGATTGCTTCTGTCGGCGACGACGCATGAAATACCAAAGCAAGGCGAGAATGATTGCTAACCCGGCAACACCGCCAACAACACCACCTGCGATAGCGCCAGTATTGGAACTGGAAGAGCTACTCGATGTTGGGGGGCTGCTAGATGTTGGGGAACTGCTTGATGTCGGGGAGCTGCTTGATGTTTGGGGGCTGCTTGATGTCGGCGAGCTGCTCGGTGTTGGGGTCGTGCCTGGTTATGTCAGAATTGAGCGCATGCCAAGTAAGCAGGACTTGAGTCTTACCAAGTGAAACTGGGCTTAATGACGTCCTACTCTCAATATCAAGATCCTGTTCTGTCCCACACCCAACACCTCCCTCAGTCCTATTAAACCCGTATTGGTCCTGGTCACAACAGAAATATCCGCCATCATAGTTTTGGTAAAGATCCCAGGTTGCGTTGGCGCAGTGTGCTGGTTTACTGATATCCGATCTGCAGTCTTTTTTATCTGGACAACATATCCCTGTGTTTTGGTCGCTGCAAGTGTCGTTGGTGGGGCAGCATCGGTAGAAATGTTGAGATGTTACAGGATCCTTCCCTGCATCGGTCTGGCATTCTCCTCTAAGGCAGATGCCATCTCTGCGTATGGCGAATCCGTACGGGGGATCATAGTCGGTCATGATAGGGAAGAAAGAAATAAAATTCCGAACAAAACGATGATTAAGAAGAGTAGAAGTCGCGCGTGATGTATATTAATCAAAGGCCAGGAACATAGGACAGAAGGAAACAATGACCTAGTTTAGAAGATGTTGAAATTAAGTGCTAACCGAAGCGAGGGAAACAGACGGGAGAGAGGAGCTGATCTAACCCAGGGGAAGTTTTAATAGAGGGGCCCTGCGCTCGAACAGACCCTACACTTAAGGCTATATTGGGGCCGCCTTGGCATTGATTATCGCGGAGTTAACCTTGGCAAAGCTGGTTTCCTAGGCAGACCACAACAGACAACCTTCTAGTCCAGACTGCCGAAAGTAGTGTGTGCATTCTTTCAATATGACTGCCTTTGTTCGTGGATCAATAACGCGAATGCCATGAGAAACACTTTCGTGAGGGCGGAAGGTAGACCGGAACAAAGCTGCCGGGGCAGTGGGGCCCCTTGGGCACGGCCACCCGTGCAGCACTGCAGAAGGCAAAGATCAACAATGGTCAAATTAGGGGGAAAAGACAGCAATTCGGATAATTATCGAATGGACTCTGAATAGGCAGAGCCAGCTCTCTTTAAAAGAACAAATACTATGTAATGCCAAATAATTTCCATTTCCATCGAAGTTGAAAAGTAGTGTGCGGCTGAGAGGTAACAGGGCCGAGCATCGACCGCGGGAAGACACAAGGTTGACAGCCCAGGGGTAAAGGCTAACCCAAAAGGGCAATTCATAAGTATTCTGCAGAGTATACTCCGCGCTCACCCTGTTGTATTCTGTCGCATGCTACGGAGTATATAGAAATGTCAAAATGTTGTGCTATACCGCTTACAACTAAAAGGACCGTAGCCCTCGGCGTTATGGTGTAATTCTAAAAATTAGATTCGCGTAAAGATATGGGTCTTCCCACGCTCTACTTGCAACCTAGTTCTCGGGTATTTTAATATAAGGCGCTTCTTTAATATCTGTATGAAGAAATATAACTAGTTTTAATATCGAGATAATAAAGAAACTAGGGCTCATACCGCGGCAATTCTATAGAATACTTTAAACCGATATAGGCTGTGCTGTGCTACAACGGTATATACTTTATAGAAACTAATATCTTTGATTTGGTTAAAACCGCGAGTAACTAGACGCACTTCACAACGGCTGGCAATTTTCTGACCCTGGCTGTTATGCCCATCTGCAGACCTCCGCGCAGTTCGGTTACCTATTATGTCAATGAACTCATTCGTACGACATGAGTACACTGCCCATCTTCCAGGCTCCTCCAAGCGACATGTTGCAAACTCTGTCGGTTGCCACGATGGCCCTCCATGCTCCTAAACCGTAGAACTCGCCGTTCATAGAGTAGTAGGTCCCTACTCGTTGGCACCTTTTCACGCCAATCTCCTCGTCCAAGAACATGTCTCCTTCAGCTTGCTTGACAATTCGTTGGACAACGTATGTCGTTCCGTCTGAAGTCAATTCCGGCTTCTGCAAACCGTCAAGAACTTCCTCCCACTCAGAAATCTCCAGCTCATCGCCAAACTTGATTCCTTGTCCACGGCCCCCGCGTACCGGCTTGATGATGAAGTCATCCTTAGCCAAATCCCCCTGTCGGTACAAGTCAAGAAGCTGCTTTGCTTCCTGCGATCCCGGAATGATGGTAGGCACGATTCGAGTGCGAAGCAGGATGGCTTGCGCCTCTGTCAAGACACGATGTTTTGTAACTAGGTCATCCAGCTCCTGGTGGATAATTCCCAAAATACGCTTGTCGTGAACGATAAGTCGGCTGCGGGTATCATTGGCCCCGTGAAGTGCTAAATAGCGACGGGCTTCGGGATCTAGGGCCGAATACTCATCCACTGCCATCTGAAGACCCGCTTGGTGAATCAATTCTAGACTTTGGTCTTCCTGATCACCTGGAGAGGCCGCTGCACTGGTGGACCGGGTACAGTAAAGGGCATAACCAGTCTCCGAAGTAGCATCAGGCACTAGACGCAGATCCTCAGGTCTCACCGAGCGGGGCCTTATTCCGGTTCTTTGCTCGACCCAATTGAGGAACGCCTCCATTATGCTCGATCGACCGCGAGCCGAAAGAAAGTGCTCGGATTGAAGCAAATGGATGGGGAGTTTGGGATTGAACAACGTGAAATAAGCTTCGATCATGTGGTCATTATTCACGGGTATATCAACGAAGGATGGCTTTGCCTCTTCACTGGCTAAACCCTTATGGATCCAAGATGCCAGGTCAACGCCAAGAGAGAAAAACCTAGCGTTGATTTCGCACATTGCGAATCCATCCTTTTCATCAGCAGGGATGAGTAAGTCTGGTCTCCAAGTACCCTGGTGTCCTTCATATGCATGCTCTGGATGCGTTTCACAATGATTAGATAGCCACTGTTCAAGAAGTTTGCTGTCAGCAAATTATCTTAAACAATGAGTATCGTTCTATAGTATATAGGTGGTAGAATACCTGTAACAACTCTTCCTCATGCTGCTCAAGTGGCATGCGGGTAGGAAAGGCAGCCTCTTTGTCCGTGAACCACCGCTGCACAATATTATTCAAGGCAATTGAAAGAGCATTATGGAACAGCCTTAGATCGATTAAGAATTGATCAGAGACCAATATAGGGTTTGGAGCCATGTAGCGCAGTTCATATGGTAGATTTGCAGGCCCTCCGGTATACTGGAAAATGACACGGTAGAAGGCATCCTCTGCCCGTTTTCGATCTTCATGCGATGCATCGATCGCCGATACCAGCCTTCCCTCTTTCTTAGAGGCACTTAGGCATACTTGTAGCGGCTGGCATGACTTACTAGACTGATTCATGGTGAAGATAATAAAGACTTAGGATATTGGGCAGATGTGAGTGTCGAGGGAATTGATGCTCAAGACTTTCAGATCTAGCAATGAGAGATTGGAGATTGAAGCTTGGAATATGCCCGCTTATGCCACATTCAGTAAGGAGGGGTTAAACATGCGGTCAGCTTGCTATCGCAAGCTGCATATGGGCTACACATACTCCTTACGATGTGCTCCGTAAGTCAGATACGTGCTTTGTTTTGTTTTTGTTTTTGTTTTTTTGTTTTTTACCCGTGGAGTAAAGTTTGCTACAAACAAATGCTCTATTCGAACTCACCACACGGTGCGAGAAATGATTAATAGTGGATAGGTCTGTTTCAAACCATGGTCTCCCAGGTACGTAGCTAGCAGCAGCATTACATGTGTATTGAGGTGGTATAGATCTCATGTACATCCCTTGGAAACTTATTTTTGAAATTGGTTTAGTCTGTTCGTTGGCATTAATAGGGTTTTCTCTCTCTTTCATTTCTTTCATTTTCAACAGACAACCGATAGATCGATCCACAGGACTATCGCCATCTAGATTTCTGCAGTTATAGCCGAGGGCACGAGGACACATCCACCGCTGAAAACATTGCAGATCTTTCCATTTCCCGTGCGCCAAGGTCCCAACCCAACAAAGCGGCCGTTCACAGAATAATATGTGCCAACCACTTGACTATTGGCCATTGTTCTATCTTTTCCTGCAACAATATCGAACTTTGGCTGCTGCACATATGGTTGAAGGACATATGATGTTCTGTCTGCCCGAATGGTTGGATCTTGCATCCTAACCAAGACTGCTTCCCATTCTTCTGCGGAAAGCTCATCTCCAAATAGATGACCATCACCGCGGCTAGCACGAGCTGCCTTGAGCATAAAACTATTCTTCAAGGCGTCTCCCTGGTTGCTGTTGCTGTGCAAAATTTGCTTCAGTTCTGGAGATCCCGGCAAGATCGTATGCACAATTCCTTCCCGGATAATTCGAGCTTCATCGGGGGTGAGGACCGCATGTTTCTCAACAAGATGATTTAGCTCCTGCAGAATGATGCCAAGAAATCTCTGGTCATTCACAAATAGGCTAGTACGGAGATCATTGAGCGAAATCTTCGCCAGATGACGAAGCATGTTTAGCGGAAGAAGGCTGTACTCCTCAGGAAATAGCGCCAAAGCTACCTGATAGACCCGCTCTGGCTCCTTTCCCTCTTCATGTCCGTGTGGCTTGCAATAAAGAGCGAAACCGGTAGAAGAAGAGGAGTCAGGCGTCAATTGTAGGTCCGAGACGTTCACCAACTTAGGCCGTGATTGAGTCTTCTGTTCAGCTAACAGGGCGAACTCTTGTCTTTCGAGGTAGTCTCTTCCCCTAACAAGATGTATCGGCAAGTCAAGATTGAAGTGGTCGAACAAGCCGTCCACCAAAGTTTTGAAATCACCCGCTGGCTCAATGATGGAGTCTGACCCTAACAGTTCCTTCATAATGCCATGCTTGTATGCAGTATGAATTATGGCGTTGTAAGGTGTCCGACTGTTTATCTCACAGACCTGGAACCCTGGCCCCGAGGTTGAATCCTCATTATGTGTCAACAGGAAGTCCGGTCTCCAGTTACCCAGACAGTCTGCGAAAGCAGGCATTGAATTGTTCTTGCTTTGCTCATCAATCCACTTTTCAGATTTAGCACCCTCCCGGTCAAAGTAATTGAATGTCTCTGCCTCTTATTTGAAGTAAGCAAGGGTAACGCACCTTCAGAATCTCTTCCGCACGGGGCTCGAGGGGCATTCTAGAGGGGAAATCGGAGGCGCTGTCCTCCCACCATCGTTCCACGATATTCACAATGGATTTGGTTAAGACCTCATGGAACTCCTGCAGCCGTAGAAAAAAGCCTCTATCGCTCAACATCGGATATACTGAGATATCTTGCTGGTTGGGGTCCACCCCCGGTTGCGCTGTGGAGTGATCAACTTTTCGCCACGTCATTTCATCTCGAATTTTGTCCACGTCTTTAGCATCTAAAGCCGGAACTAAGCGGCTTTTTCCAAGAACTGCTGACCAGCAGACTTGCTGGTGTCGAGGCGACGGGTACAGGCTGCCCATGTTCACTATCTCGGGGTGCGTCGAGTGAAATATGGGATCAGGGAAGGGGATCAAAGGTCGACACCTAGCCTATGCTCTTGAGCCTGTGTATCGATCAAGGTGTTCAAGGCCAATTTATGAGAGAGAGAAAAAAAAAGAATTCCCCTTGACCGCACCTTTCTTTTGCCTTCTGATCTGCAGGCCTAGCTGGCTATGGATTCAAAAAAGAAAGAGAAAAAAGTGTCTGAGGGCACATAGATGCGGTAGACATCATTAAGGACGTGTACCACTCATAAACATGCCTCTAAGCACTCACACCGACATTAAAAAGCTAAAATGTCATACGGCTTCTCTCCAGGAATCCTGAAAAAAGTACGTGTAGCCCGTGACCGGCTTCCAGCTCCCTGCTCCCTTGCCTCCATGAATCCTAGTTGCGTTCCGTTTGAAGGAGACCCAGGAAGTACGGACGAATCAATCCAGTCTGTAACAAAGTGCCTGCGTAATAAAGTTTTTACATTTCTATTTTACTTCTCAGAATACACATGTTTAGTTTTACCATGTGACGCTTGATATGTCCAAAGTCAGTCAACAGGAAACGGAGGGATGACCAGGCGACTCGAACCACACAGGCCAATGATGTCTCACATTTTCCACCTCTATTTTGACTTGGAAATCGGGTCTCTGCAGCAACCTTTACCAGGGGACGCTCGTTCTAGACCTGTTGGGGTCTTGTAGGAGTTCTTCAGGAACTGAAAATACTCCAGGGTCCTAATGGCTCAGGTATGAAGCAGTAATTTCGGTAATGACAGTTAGATCAAATGTTAGTAATTGATTCTGTAACTGGAGTGCGGGACGACTTACAAATTGGGAAAGAGGCGATGGTTGCCGTAGTCACCTTGTAGCATTCGCCTTCTACGCTTGGTCTTTTGATATCGCAAGAACGAAATATCCAGTGCCATTACCTCCTTGTATCAGTAGTAAGCGAGATTATATATGGATATTAAAACATGTGAAATCCAGGGTCCGCCGTTTACAACTAGAAAATGAGGATCTGTGAAAAGGACTGGATTCAAATACTGAAACGATTTCAAAATTCTAAAAATGTATATCTCTATGAAGCCATGCGCTCCGCACGGCTCTGCAGCGCCTTGACCATGTCAATTCCGACCTGGGTAGCCTCATCCAACTTCTCCTCCGGCAAGCCCAACAGCTCGTTCTGTGCCTTGTCAGAGTGGTTGCCGGCATCCTCCGGGAAGAACGCTCGCGCGTAGAGCAGCTTAGCAAACCCAGCCATGTTGCCGGTCTTGACCAGCCCCAGACCATCTGCGTATCGCTTGTGGGCATCCTCCTGGGTAATCGTCCAGTCGGCGTCTGTCGTGCCAGTCACGCGCTTGACGCTCTCAAACATCTCGTTCTGGCTGACGACAAAGCTCTTGAGGTAGACGGGCTTGTTGAGCCAGCTCGAGAGAGTCAGACTCTTGTCGTTTTCGTCATCCGGAAGCACCTTTAGGCTGAGCACATTCGCAACAGCGCGACCGACCTGGGCCAGAGTCGAGACTGAAGTCTTGGTGTTGCCATCGCCGTAGATCGTCAGTTCTTTCTTGTCAAAGTCGAACCCGAAGCGCGCCGACCCGCCCGCTAAGCTGTAGTCGTACCAGAATCCACAGCATACGGTGATCCACTTCATGCCCAGCTTCTCGATCTCGTCTCGGTTAGCCTGGGCAACGGGTCCGAGCATGACATCCTGGCCGAACTTGACATGCTCAATGTCGCCGGCGTATCCGTTGGGCATGATGTAGGGGACTCCTGCCTTGGCAGCCGCCTGGACGAGCTTGCTGTGTGTGTCGCGGGGCGCAGTGGGGGCGACAGTAATAATAAAGAACTGTTGGCCCTTGAGGGCATCGACAATGGATGCCTCATCGCTGTAGTCGACGGGGGCGACAACGACACCCTCGGGGAGTTTGTTGGAGCTGTCTTTGCGCGAGAGGGCAGTGACAGTGTGTTTTCCAGTTTTAAGGAGGGCAGCAGCGAGAACAGAGCCAACAGTACCTCCGGCCTAGTAAGTTTGTTAGTCTCATCCTGTATTTTACTTGGGGGAGGCGTTTACATACACCGACAATGGCGACTCTCTCAATGGCGTTGGTGAAGCCGGCGGGCTGATCCTTAGCGTATGACATTTTGCTTGAGTGATGTGTGTGAATTGATCTGGATTGGATTGAATGAACCAAGACTCAATTGCAGCTGAATCATGATTAATTTATATTAATTCTGGCTTATGATCTCCGCCGCAGCAGCCGCACTGCGGCCTGAAACTCCGCAATAGCGGCGCTCAACTTCGTAACTCCGCAATAGCCGCACGATGTTCACCCCGAGCGGAGTTAAGTTGTTGAATCAAAGAAACCATCGGAGCATCTTCCCACCCATTTCCCCTAGTGTCAGACGGCCGAGTGTGGTCTAATCGTGACTCGGAGTAGACAGATTTGACTCGAGCATAGCCTCATGATCAGATATACTCCATTCGCAAACCCCATCCCTACCTTTTCTACAACGAGTCTACTAAGATTCGCTCCCCAGGCCCGTGATTGTCAACAATCATCATTTCACAGTGAAAATGTCCTCTGAACAACCCTCACAAGCGCTACCCAGCGAACCTGAAGCCCCGAGTGAAGTCCGTGAAGACTGTGAAGACCGTCAGTACAGCGAAGATGATTCCAAAGTCGCACGTCCCAAGTCCCTCCCCAGCGAGGTCCTCTTTGTCGCCATCATCTGTTCCTCGCAGCTTCTCACTCAAGCCGGCCTTGCCCTCAGCATCGTCCCTCAACACATCATCGGACGCTCCTTTGACATCGACGACCAGCCTGGCAAGCTGAGCTGGTTCTCCTCTGGATACTCTCTCACCGTCGGCACCTTCATCCTCATCGCAGGCCGCTTCGGTGATGTCTTTGGGCACAAGCCGTTCTTCGTAGGCGGCTATGTCTGGTTTGCCTTATGGTCTTGTCTCGCCGGTGTTGCTGTGTATAGCGGCCCCGGCTTCTTCATCTTTTGCCGTGCCATGCAGGGAATCGGCCCGGCTTTCCTACTCCCCAACGCCATCGCTATTGTCAGTCGCTGCTACGAACCGGGCCTTCGTCAAAACATGATTTTCTGCCTGTTCGGGGCCACTGCTCCTGGCGGCTTTTTGCTTGGTGCTGTCTTCTCCAGTCTGATTTCTCAGAGACTCTGGTGGCCTTGGTCGTATTGGGTCCTGTGCTTTGCGTGCCTCTTGCTGGCTGTCTTGGGCTTCTTCGCGATTCCCGCAACCCCAGCCCCGAGAACCCCAGAGTCTGAAAGCTCCAGTGTCTGGAAGCGCGTCGATGTCGGGGGCTCCGTCACCGGTGTAGCCGCCCTCGTCCTTTTCAACTTTGCCTGGAACCAAGGCCCCGTGGTCGCCTGGACGACACCATATACCTACTTCATCATGATCATCGGCATCCTCGTCTTTATCGTCTTCGTCCTGATCGAGAAGAGAGCAAGCCACCCGCTGATTCCCTTCGGCGTCCTGCGCATCGATTCCGTCTTCACTCTGGCCTGCATCGGCGCCGGCTGGTCCAGCTTTGGCATTTTCGTCTTCTACACGCTGAACCTCCTCGAGGTCCTCAGGGAGCAAACGCCCCTTCTCACATCTGCACAAATGACGCCTATCGCCATAAGCGGGCTATTTGCTGCGGGCGCCACGGGCCTACTTCTAAACAATTTCCGCGCGTCGACAGTTATGCTGGTCTCCATGACCTTCTTCCTCATCGGGGGTGTCATCTTCGCGACGCTGCCTGTGGACCAGATCTACTGGGCGCAGACGTTCGTGGGGATCATTGTCCTTCCATGGGGCATGGATTCGTCGTTTCCCGCTGCCACGATTATCCTGAGTCGAGCTATGCCGCGCGAGCATCAGGGTCTGGCTGCGTCGCTGGTGACTACATTTGTCAACTATTCCATCTCCATTGGGCTTGGTTTTGCCGGTACTGTCGAGAGCCAGGTCAATGGTCAAGGGAAGAATGTCTTGCAGGGCTACCGAGGGGCGTTTTACATGGGAGTTGGGCTCGCCGGGTTAGGTGTAGTTGTTGCCCTGCTTTTCTGTTTTGCGGAACGGTTTCATATCAAGATAGAAAGGGTGCAAGAAAAGACCAATTCGCAGGAAACGCTGGTTTAGATCTCGGTGATGCAATAATGTTTCGTTGGATTCCTTGAAGTGTTGCTTCTGCTGTTAATTTACATCATCTCAATGTCGGGAAACATCGACAGATATGGCTCCACGAGAAACTGGTCCCAGTCCACCCCCCAGCCAACAAGATCTGGCACAGTGGTGTTGGGCTCGGGTTCCGGTGGGGTTTGAAAGGCTTCGTATCCTGCCTCGACAGCCTCCAGCTGCGAAATTTCCTTTCGTTTCTTCGCTATATTAAGACTGAGAAGATGCCGTGCTATAGAGAGTGCCTGTCGGGTGAGTGCTGTATCCGTTGCCCTGACAAGATTCTCCAGCCTCTTAAAAGCAGCAGGAATGTGGGCGGACGAGGCTGGGGTGTCGATGGCCAACAAGATACAAGTATACTGGAAGACACTGCCGATAACATTCCATAGTAGACGGCCTTGGCTGGCGAGCTGCTCAGCTGCCTCTAGTCCATCCCTACCGCTATCGATGACAACCTGGATGGTTTCATCCGTGATGCCTGCCTTGAACTGGTAGATACGTCGATAGAAACAGAATGCGAGGTCCGCCTTGGTGGCGACTAAGAACGAATGCGTGAAATCTAGTTTGCTCAATGCCGTAAGACGCTCGGATAGCTCCTCCCTTGGAGATGAAGGCTGAGAGTCAAGTTGGAACGGAGAGTTCGGCGACGGGATAATCTGGATGATTCGCACAAACTGGTCGGCAACAGATCCTGGGGTTGCAATAATCGCCTGCGTAGTCACGGCTGCAAATGTCACTGCCGACCGATCGCACTCGTAGGACAGCATCTGGTGTCCGGCCCATAGGATCCAGAAGATACGCCTCAGCCGGTCCGCATCATGGCCAAGAGCAGCGGCATTAGCGACAGACGCTATACGTTGGATGTTTTCTTCCTTATGCAGCCCGACGACTTCGCAGAGGTGCATAAGCGTACAGGAGGCGACCCAGGCACTACTAGGCCGGGATGTGGCTCGGAGATAGAATAACCGCATGCCCCACGCGATGATATGATCGACGCTCAGCATCCGTATCGAGGCCGGATCATCGAGAATAGATTTCGCGTACTGTAGTAGGTCCGACTCGCGGGAGTACCTAACTGAAGAGAGGAAGGATCCGACTGCAGCAACACTAGCGGCTATAGCACCAAAGGCGACCGGCGGACTGCCGGGCCCATGATAATACTCGCGACACCGCTGAGCATAGATCCTGGGGTCAATGACATCTCCAATGGAGCCCATTGCAGAGAAGTACACGTCCGAGTAAAAGGCGAGGTTGTCCTCGGAGATCAGGCTGTCCAGCAAACCATACGTGTTGGAAGCCTCTTCCGGGCGGATGCCAAAGTTGTACGCAGTTGAATTGATCTTGGGAGGGTTGGCAGACCCGAGAGCCAGGCCTAATATATGCGGGAAGGCCATGGCTGCCGATGCGCCGGTGTACCTGGACTTGTGCTCCTCGAAGATGCCGGGGCTCTTGCCAGTGGACGGGCTGCCTTCATTTACCACGGGGGGTTGGATCTGCATGTTACGTCCCTCGAGAACAGCGCGCTTGGCGACTGGGGGATCCGCAGTCCCGGTGATGTCGTCGTCGTACCTGCATTGATACTGGTAGGTGGAGCACGTTCCACACGGATACTCCCCATCGCATTTTCGCTTGCGCTGGTGGCACGGATTGCAAGCTTTTCGAGCACGTTTACGCTTGTTTGTGGACATATTGAGAGTTTTATGTCATGATGGCATTTTGAAGATGAAACACTTGATGGACTGAAAGAACTTGTCAAACTAGAGGGGGTGGTATTTTACCACTAAGGACAGGGTTATTCATCAACTCTCCTTTCTCTGTATGGTAAACGGGGTACACTCGGCATACCGGCGTCGTAACACGTTAGGAACGACTCCCAAGATCTGATGACGTTTTAACAGCAAGATCCAGCTAGAACACAACAGTGTATCTCCGTGGGACACCTTAATACTAGTACATACGAGTATCCGTCAATCCTACAGAACTCAAAGTTCAGAAGCCGGAGACAAAAGAAAGACAAAAGATACGCTGACTCAGCAGGATGACTAAGCTCATAGAAACAGAAGCTGTTAACTAGTGAAATTAATTACAATAGTTAGTGGTATATATACCCCTGAATTAGAATATATCTCAAAGCAAGTGCTGAAAACCCATGTACGATCTAAACAATTTAAACAGTGTAGGTACATCAAGACCGAGCAGCGTCAATAATTTCCGGAAGTATGTTGCGAGTGTTGTTCCAGATCTGAGTCGAGCCAACAACAAACAGCGAGCTGATATACCAAGTGTTCCTGTGGCCCTGGAGGCCCTTCATCTTGCCATACCAGCCGTTCGCAATGTCGCTAGTTGGGGGACTCAAATGGAACGGCGAGTAATCCACAAAGTCTTGAAACGTTGGCTCCACAGCCTCGGTACCGCTCTCACTCTGCAGCCACTTGATGGTGCTTCGAGTAGCTTCCTCGATTTCCTCCTGTGTCTGAGGGTTGACCGAGTTGTACCAATAGAAAAAGTACCCAGGAGAAGCTGAACCAGCAATCTCTACCACCCCAGGAAGACTGGCGACGTGGTACGGTGTGTTTTGGCCGACGTTGGTGTAAGCAACTCCCGCCTCAAGCCCGGTATTGTTCATAACGCCTGCGTAGTAGTGCTTGCCAGAGAGCTTGCTCAGGATGGAATGTTCCTGCTGGTCGAGAGCAAAGTACTTGGCGTTGTCCAGGACCGGCGGCATGGCAATGATGAGCTGCTTAGCTTTGATGAGCTTCCTGCCAGAGGGAGTTTTGACCACGAGTCGTACGCCGTCCTTGCGGGAGGATCCACGCTGAGCTGCAATGATGGAGGATTTCAGCAAGACATGCTCTTTCAACTCGGCCAGGGCGTTGTCGTAAATCTGGGAGTTGTAATGAGTGGCACTGCGAACCGCTCCCCCGGTGTTCTCCGCCAACTCAATGTGATTGCCGTCGTTAAAGATGGCCAGCGCGGTGGTGTCCAGGGGATTGCCAGGGGTCGCTGGCCATAGCAGACCTGCCTCAGCCGATCCAGAGGAGAGTTTCTGCTTCTCGGCAAACTCCGGCCAGGTCAGAAGCAGCTCTTCAGGCACATTATCCGGCAGGTTATTGAGATCGTCGAGGAAAGGATACTTGTTGAGCACGGCCACATAGTCGCTCTCGATAGTCGGCCGGGTGTGGTTGGTAAGGGCCACTTTTTTGGTAAAGTCGTAGTACTTGGGGTTTCCGAAATCCGTGGGCTTAAAAGGCGTCAGAGGCGAGTTTAATCGCTTGAAAAAGTCACGGACGACGGGTGTATTTTCGTGGAGCTGCACGCCAATGTCGATGCTAGCCCCCGTGGCCTCGTCGCGGAAAGTCCGGGTGTTTCCACCAAGTCGGTCCGTCACTTCAACCACGGTGAAGGTCTTGTTCTGATCGGCGAGACTGATTGCTGCATAGGTACCTGCTGCTCCTCCGCCGATGATGGCAAAGTCCCGCTCGACAACGTCCTCTGCAGCATATGCCGACGGGTCGAATTGTTGACCGTGGACACAGGCAGCCAAGGCCCCGGCGACGAAGAAAAAGGTAGTCAACATGTTGGAACGATGAATGAAACTGATCAAGGCTGGCACTGCAAGTGCTGCGAGCGCCTTTTATACAAATACATCCTGGGGCTCTGACTTACTTTCCTCCGCAAGAAACTCCGGTGTCAGGCCAGGGGGCGGAGGGAGGATCGATACAGCCCCCAAGTGGAGTTTGCCTGCAAGTAAGTAAGCACGGCTGAAATAAATAACTATTCCTTGAATATATCTCACGGGCTAATGAAGCCTGCTAAGCACTGCCTCGTTGTATAGTGATAATCTGTAAACGATCTGCTAGCCTTCGTAATAGAATGATTTTTGAACCATACACGGTATGTATTCCTGGATTTACTTCTTTCAATCATTTATAAGAAGCCCAGAAATCTTTCTTCCAAGCATTGACAAGCCTCGTCACTGTAGCATTCCCAAATGGAGACTGCTGAGTCGCAAAGAAACCTGCAACATGTAGTTCTCTATTCAGCCACCAGATATTATTACTTGCTCCGCCCTACCCCGGCATGCCTTTTGGTTGCCCTATTTCACCCGCCCATCAAGGAACACAATTCTAGCCAATCTATAATTGACTACCCCGTTAGAAACAGGTCTAGATACAATATTCTACGCTGGCCGGAGTTCATAGAGCCCTTGGACTGCCGCTAAACCAGGCACAAGCTGGGTATAAACATCTCAGTAACAGAATCTGCCTTGAGAAGTCTGGAAGATTCAGGGACCAGATCTACAAGCACTGCAAGATAGTCCTTTACAATGGAGGAAAGGCCAGCTCAACCATAAATACCTCCAGCGCCTTGCATGGCCAGCGCCGCGAATCCACTGCTCCAGAGGCTACTGGAAGGATACCGGCCGGCATTCCGAGCTCATCCATCTGGGAAGGAGGCTTCGGCTTCCTTCGCGCTCTCGCCGCAGCAGCAGATGTGCTACTACGAGAGGAAGCTTTTTAGCAGAAATCTCATTTTCTTGCTGGACCGGACCCTGGCTGACTGTTGCCTGTCGGTGGTCACCGCTTACCTGAACGCTACTTTCCTCCACGCCGTGCCGCCCGACGCGTCCATCCACCTACGGGTCTGGCCGAAAAAGGTCGATGGCCGAAAGGTGTATCTCGCAGACAGTCAAGGCGAGCTGCTTGACGCGGTCCACGCGCATGCCTTGATTGTGGAGCCAAAACCGGGACAGCCGGGAACCCCCGGGGATACTAGGTAAGTGGATTGGTATAGGGAGAGTGCCTTGAATCGACGGGGTCTCGGGCAATATCATAGATCGATATCTTAGGTCTGGTGCTCTCACGGCCAGTTTGCGTCCAACAATTAGACCATGTTATCTAGACGGGAGAACAAATAGAATGGACTGCCGGCAGACTTGATACTATGGCATGTGGCCTAGCCATCTAAATGGGTCGGACTATCGTACACCCCAGAAATGCAAACATTAAGGTGCATAGTAGTCAGGTCATCTCGTTTGCCTACGGGACCGGCGGAAGTCTTGCACCAAAACCCCTTCCGAGGTGATCTCTGCGGCCACTGCCAGCACTTTCGACTCCGTCCTCCGCCTCGCCCATCGTCTCGCCCATCGTCTCGGCGGTGGAGTAGGAAGCATCGAATCTTGTGACGCCGCGGCTGTAAATGCGCCAATAAGGGCAATGGTGGCTACACAAGAGGATGATACTAACAGCCTGGGACTCTTACTATTGTGGATAGTTAAAGTTGATCCGTGTCGACCGTCGGTCGAGCTAATCTCCCATATAGCCTAAGTGCACGCTCCGTCTGCACTGCTCACACTGCGAATTGGCAATGCAGTCTGCTGAGTTGTCATGACAGATCAGGCACTCTATGTTGCCGCCGTCATCATCCTGCCCGAGTGAGCGGAGGATCACTGGCGTGCCGGTGTTGTCTGCATTGGCGGTCCCGAACTTGATCGGAGCGGGGTAAGACGGCGACACTTCGGATTGAACCGACCTGCAGCTGCTCAATATGGATGGACTGACGCTTAGCCGCGGCAGGTTCAACCTCCATGGGTGTCAATGATGTCGAATTCACATCCACCGTCTCCGCTCCAGGCAGCGATTGAGGGAGATCACCCCGACGTAGCAATGCAGTTACTGCGTTGTGGCATGCGGCTGGATGTCAATGCCCGGACCTATCTAGGTGAGTCCGCTCTATCACTGGCCGCGTACGAAGGATACCTAAGCGTGGTTGAGCGCCTCTTACAGGAAGGGCGGGTTGACCCTAATGACGTCGACAAAATGGGGTGCAATGCGTTTTGGTGGGCAGCCCGTGCGGGCCAGGCCAGAGTTGTGGAGCGGCCCCTGAAGAACAACCGTGTTCTGACGCAACTAAAAGACGAAAACGGGATGGACGCTTTGGATGCAGCGAGCCATCATAATCGGGTGATGTGGGTATCTCAGGGGCAATTTTGGGGCCGATTGGGCTTTACGATCTGCTGTCACTTAACCACCGCCGTAGTTGCTCACCAATTCCCCGCTAAGCCATCATTTCTTGAAGCGGTTCCCCCACCAGGTCAGTGGAGCACTAAACATTTTCCCTTCCACCTTTCGAACTGTGGCCGCCAACGCTGTGAAACTCTTGCCACCAGCAACTCATCAGCTGTATGGCCGATGCGGCCAATACGGGCGTACCGTCCGTCACCCTACCGGGATCGACAGCCGGACCGGATTCCATGTGGGCGAACCAAGATGAGGGGCTTTGTGACTATCTGGAGAGTCGAAAGTGGACTCTGCCAGCGGTTTCCGCCTTCCTAACGTTTGCATTGTTTGTTCGATTAGTTGTGACAGGATCCTTGTGGGAAAATACAGAGCCTATTTTACCACTAGACCATAACATAAACCTCGGTTCCTGTTGAGGGCCTATGGGGCCATATCCCAGTCTGACAGATCCCACAAAGGATCCTGTTTCGGATATTCCTTTTTCTCTTTTCCTTTCCCCTCTGTACTTAGTATTCTAGTTGGAATGTACTCTTTTGTTTAAGAACTGGCAATTAACAGGCTTGAGAAATTGAATCCTCAGATGTTTTCTTTTGATATTTGGCATTCGAGCAATGCAGAATCCAGAGGATAGGTCGGAAATCGCCACTGGTGCACGGTCATGTATTCAGTATGGCTCTGGTTATCTCGTTTGAATCAATCCGGGAATGACTGGATACGTTGGCGGAAAATATGTGGGGGTGCGGGTCGCCGAGCATTCGAGGCTTGAAACCTCCGCGGCCCGCTGCCGTCCCAACTGGATTTCCAAGCTTTTAGGGCACATTATCTGTTACGTCAGGGCGGCTCGTTCATTCTCCACGCTTCTGCCTTGTCTGCTGCAAATCACATGCACGGACCTAGAGACCGACTACTGTGGGAAAAAAATACAGCCTATTTTTACCACTACTGTTGTAGACCATAACAAAAACCTCGGTTCCTGTTGAGGGTCTAAGGGGGCCATGTCCTAGTCTGGCAATTGCTAAACTAAACCATCGCTTGGCATGGGGTCTGGAACCGCTTCGACCTTGTTCGATCATGGGCTACTGAAACTAGTCGTCTCATCGGCTCCATCAAGTGGTGGCTAGCGCTTAGCGGGCCTGCCGTTTGGCCCGGCCTGATGTGAAGCAGGAATGGCTGTAAAAAGTCCTGCCGGAGAGTCAGGAAGCGCTGGCTGCCTGGTAATTAGAGCAAAAGCACCAAGACGTCTGGCATCCGATTAGACCCAGAAATCGTATTTTTATCCATTTAGAGTCTGTTCTTTCGGAAGTATAGCCCTTCGCTTGCCGTAAAGCTCGGGCATAGGCTTCTGGGTGAAAGCTTGAACGCCTCCGACAAACGATACGCCAGTACAATCTTCCGTCTCTTGTTCTGTCGGTCACGATCCAATACTCATGACTACTATCAGCACTTTAAGCCCAGGAGAGTCGACACGCTCTGTCTCGTGGTTGGACGTGCTTCGCCGGGAGCTTATTAAGGCAATACACTTCGCAGACAGTTCCCAACACGCTTAGCCGTGAGTCGCACACTATCCCCAGCACTGTGGACCGTCAGCGCGAGGATTCAGGAGCAAGCGATCCCCTCGACATCGAAGGCACCGAGAGCGACGACGGCGAGTGGGAAGCAGACATTGAACCTTAGAATATACCGGCTTTCGCTTCTGCGCTTGGGGAGTACGTTCAATGTCCCTGTCGATGTCTGAGTGGTATTACATCGGATGACGGTTTATGCTTTCTCTTTCCTAGACTGTAAAAAAAAGAGTTGAGTAAGAATCCTTTTCCCTGTATTCAAGCCGCAAATAAAAGCTCTCTGGCTCTTCGTCGCATTGTCCTCGAGTGGTCATTCCGGAAAAGAGATTCCGTTATCGCCCGTGTAACGTCCTGCTGTGGTGTAGTACCTGGGCTCTCAGGACGGTATCATCTAGTATTGCGACTAGAAACCTAGAGGTTCATCCTCCTTATAGTAGCGTGAGGCTAACCATTCATTGCGTGTCCAGTCATGTCCAACATTCAACGACCTATGACCTATCGTGACCGGGGGGCGGTGCATATACAAATAACCCTAGAGTTCTATTCCATGGGAACCCTAATGGCATTCCTTCAAGCTCACCCTTGACGCACTGTGAGCTGCAGGTACTCCAGCCCTATGATCGGGAAAAAGTGGTCGGTGTAACAACAAGGATGGACCAGTAGGACCAGTAGGCGCCAATCATCCAAGGTCAACGAGTCGAACAACAGGGCGGCATTGCAACTAACATGACGAGGCATGATACAAGAACCACCACGTATAGGCGTTGAATGTGGGTCACGAGCTTGATCAACTTCCAGCCGCGGCCGGCAGCGGGAGATGAATTATTTCCACTGCCGCTACTGGCAACGGGCATATCATCCGGCCGTTCCGGAACGAGCCTAGGCTCTTCCGGATGGTACTTTAGCTCAAAGTCCCAGATCCTTCGTATATACCAACTGATTCAGAGATTTCGGTCGATGTCGGGTTCGAAAAGGGCAGCAACGCCGTTGAGCTTCTTGACAGAAAGCTGGTATACGAACAATGTATGGTATGAATGACCGATGTTGACAACTCTAACTAAAATGACAAAGCCCGCTAGTTAGTTAGTTATTTCAACAATCTGTGCGGACTTAGATGACTAACTGTAGTTAACTACACTTTTGTATGGTATGCCTGGTACCCAATGTCACATGATATTCTAGGTATAATACCTAGTTTCTACCATGTATTCGGACTTGGTATTCGACACTTCTGACTTGCAGGAACCTGCTGAGGATGGCGATCATGATTAAGTGGGGTTGGGATTGATTAATTATATTAGCGTGGGCATGATGCTACTGAACTCAATTCTGCCCCAGGTCTCACTCTCTCACCTCTTAGGGCTTACTCTAATTTGGCCCCTAATCTCGTCTCGCATGCTTGCCTTCCCTTGGCCCCTTTGCTTAATCTAGTCTCGTATGCTTACCTTCCCTTGGCCCCTTTGCTTAATTTTTGTCTCGTATGCTTACCTTCCTTTGGCCCCTTTACGCTGGCCCGAGTTGTAACTGAGGCATTTTTGCCATTGGTCTATTCCTCGTGTTGCCAACTCCAACAAAGGCTGTGTATAGTATTGCGAGCATTGATTGATATGGTTGACGCCACCCGGGGCCAAATCGACTCGAAGCTTCGGCTACCTCCGCCAACTTCCAAGTTACGGTTTGGCCCTCTGAAAACAAGTGCACCGTTGGTTACGTACATGTTGGCCAACGAGAAGCCAGCATCGCCTGGTCAGATCAGTCCCCAGTGGTATCCTCCGACTCTTCGTCTAGGAGGGGTTAGGCCCGTGGCGGGGCCACTAGATGTCTCAATCACCAACAGCATCAATCGTAGCACATGGTGATGGGCTGATGCGAGACACAGCCAGCGATTGGTCCCACCTTGTTCTTTAGAGGATAAGGCTCCATTCGGGCTATACTTATATCCACTTATTGCAGCATGACCCATATCTCAATACCTTAGATCTAACCCTAGTCCAATATATCAATCCAGATTCTCCCCAGCTCTAGAAGAGGAAGACCGATTGTATGCTCCACAGACCGATTCAAGCAGCCATGCCGGGCCAACAGCGACAACAGCCGGGAATCGCAGTAGGCCTCATCGCCCATGCAGCATTCAGCGAGTTTGGTACTGACACTGAGAACGTAGTGTGAAGGATGTCGACGACGAAGAATCCGCTGTGATAGGGCGCGACCTCAATGCACAGCGTGTGATATATCCGGTGTGGAATGCATAGTGCGAGACAGCTGCCCGCCTCGAGGGCCCAAGAAAGGATATCTCAAGACGCTGCAGAAAAGGATAGAGGAGCTCGAGAGCCAGCTAGAAAAACAAGGGACATCTCCAGCACCAATTTGCCAGGCCATGGACAACGACAGCAGTACAGACAATAATGAAAACCATAACACAACGCCCGAAACAACAGATATCCTGGAGTGGCCGGCAGCACCGGTAGAATTCCCATTCCCCACGGTGAAACCCTGGGGATGTTTCGACGATTCATACACGAGCTCGCTCCTTCAATTGCCCCCAGCGGACAGTGTACCAGAGTTGAGAGAGTTGGTCCAAATTCCAATGGAATCCGGTCTCTTGATATCTCCCATGATGCACAATGACCTGTACGTCTTACCCTCGCTTGACAACAGCTGCTAATATGGCGTAGAGACCAGTTGTATTTCGACCGGGCATATGCGTTTGCGCCAATCATCCATACCCACCGCTACCGATCATGGTCTAAACAACCAAACAAGAGCAAACAGAGGATATGCCTGCAGTACGCTATGTGGACGTTGGCCTCGTCACTCTCCAGCCAGTTCCATGTCCAAGGTTGCAAGTTATACGCGAAAACGAGGCAGCTTCTGCACGAACTTGAAGGAGAGGAACCCTGCCACCAAATCTCTCTGGAACAAGCCCAGGCGTGGGCCTTGCTTTCGATCTACGAGTTAACCTGCCAGGACTTCCACCGAGGCATGATGTCCGCTGGCAGAGCTCTTCGCTTAATTCAGATGATGAGACTATACGAGCTCGACATGCCTCGAATACCTCACACCATGCAGGTAGACCAGTATCAAAGGCAACTCACCCCGGGCCAGGAGGACTGGGTTGATATCGAAACGAAGAGACGGACCTTTTGGTTTGCATATCTAATTGACCGCTTCACGAGTCTGGTGGATGGGCAACACATGTTCTTTGACGAGCGGCTGGTCAGTCTTGAGTCCTTTGTGAAGATGAAAAAGAACAGATATTTACTCAGTCTAGATACGAGCACGCCTACCGGCTCCTGAGGCAAACTTTGCAAGCAATCGCCCGACGGACATGAGTTTCCTCGCGGATGTGGTCCCGGATGTCAGCGTCGAGTGGCCACACAATAACTTGTCGCCCTTTGCAGAGTGTGTCATCGGGGCCACCATGTGCGGACGGGTCCTTCAGCATAAGCAGAACGCCCCGACCAAACCATGCGAAGAGTTCTGCAGTCGACATCGAACTCTTAATGCATTGCTGGCACAACGGATTAGGATGCTGCGAATCTCCGCATCACTGGAGTACCCGGACCCCATCATCGCCTTTGTTGCCCTAGCGGCACAGATCGATGTGCTTATGCTCTACGACCTGATTGAATCCAAGCCATTAGGGACCGGCGTGGAAGGAACGCAGCTTGTTCAAGCCCTCCATGCAGAACACCAACAACAGGCCCTAGATGCCGTGACCGATATCTCTCTGCTGGTGGCCGTACTTGGCCAACACTTCCAGGTACGCTAATCAAGTGTGATAAAAGTGTAAGTTGATTGCTAAGAATAGCAGATGCACCCTTTGACCCCTATCCTGCTCCTCTTGGGCGCCCGATTCTCACAATCTCACCCCGAGCTAAACGGTGCCTATATCAAGCTTATGCCCAGCATCTTAACAATGTTGCAAGCCTCGACGGGCCTCAACAAGCTTGCACAGAGCTTTCTTCAGCTCTTAAAGCCCCAGGGCGACACGTGGTGTGGGTTTACTTAATTTCTCGACGTATATATATATATATATAGATATTCACGAAGGCATGATCGCGACTTAGCTTGGATGGTGTTTTGAAGTTTTGGTGATAGCAGCTACTTGATCCCTGTTTAAAATTTGTATATATAGAAGCGCAATCAGAGCCGTTTGAAGTCCATTGTCCATCAAGTAGGGGTGATTCATAGGCCTTTGTTGGTTGTGGTGGCTGAAAGCTGTGCCACATTGCCTGCGTGGCAGGACATCAGCAGGCCTGCATTAATCTCTGATCTAAATATGTCGAGTATCTTCAGGTCATCGGGTCCTCAGATTCACGGCCGAAAGCCGGGGGCCAGGGCTAGGAGCCACATTTTCCGTCTTAAGACAGAGAGCCCAAAATAGCCTCGTACTCCAGTACTCGGGCAGCGCTAGGTTAGGTTATACGAGGGGCTCTTCGGACCCCCAGGTCAGGAATGGGGCTAGGACATCTGCCTAGTCAGGGTCGGACAATTAAATCAGTCCGGAGTATAAGAGGAACGAACGCCTGGTGGAAGTGTAGCTGTTGGAAAAGGAGGCTTCTATTGGTGCAAGAGGTCTAACGGTCTATATATAGATATATATATACAAGAATAACAACAAATCACAATCGTCAATCGTCAATCGCAATCTGATTCAGAGGCTGAGTACCTCGACTAAGCCTGGAAATGTCTGCTCTTCTCCGCCACCAACCCAGCCAACGCATCCAGACTGGCCGTCTGTAGGATATTGAAGATGGAAATATCCGCCGCCGCCTGCAATGCAAGCATGTTCCTCAGCTCCACCGCAATCAGCGAGTCGACCCCAAAGTGGGCCGGCGGCTTGCTGAGATCGATCTCAGCTATGGGAGTCATGAAGATGTCCGCAAGCTTCTCCGCAATAGCCGCTCCGATGAGCCCTGCTCCTTCCTGCGGGTCGTTGGCCTCTGCGAGCTGCGTTGCAAGCGAGGCACTGGTGTTTTCGCCGTCCTGTTGCGCCGAGGCCTTAGTGTTCGGTCGCAGCGTTGCATAGCGCGCATCACGGCCGAGCTGGGAGCGACCGTTGGGGTCCCAGTGAGGACCCGGAGAGGAGGTAAGACCTATGATGATTTGAGACCGGCCCAGTGGATGTAGAACCGCAGCGTTGAGAGCGCGGAGAACAATGTCCTCGTTAAGCATGGCGAATTCACCATCCTTGCGCAGGCGCTCGGCGACTTTGGCGTCTGTCGAAACGTAGCCAATGTCAGAAATGGGGCCTAGGTCAATGGCCACGCCGGGTAGGTCCTGATATTGGCGCCAGCGAGCCATGGCGTCTTCGTAGGAGCCACCGGCGGCGTAGTTGCTTTGCGATGCAATGCCTGCGACGCCCGAGACAGATGACAGCATGACGAAGAAGTCCAAAGAGTCCGGTCGCGAAAACTCCGTGTGCAGGTTCCAGGTGCCGTACAGCTTAGGACTCAGGCCACTGCGCCAGTCGTCGAGTGTCATCTGCTCGAAGATGGCGTCGCGCAGTAACATGGCGCCCTGGATGACGCCGCGCACAGGAGGGAAGCCGTCGTCTTCACAGGCCCTGAGAGCCACGGTCAGTGAGCTAGAGAGCGAGACGTCGCAGCTGACGGGCTTGACTCGACAGCCCATATGACGCAGTTCGTTGATGAAGAGTGCCCCGTCACTGTTCCTATTCCGGTCGAGATCGAGATTGCCAGCACTACGAGAAAGCAGGATCAGGTGCTGTGCACCGTGAGCCACCAGCCAGTGCGCGACTGAACGCCCGATACCCCCAACACCTCCCACGATAAGGTAAGATGCGTCGGGTCGTAGTTGAGTTCGAGCTGTTAAGCCCTTTGGTCGGGGGACCACGTGAACCTGTTGGTCCGATCCAGCTGAAAGGACAACTTTACCCATCTGGTCGCCTGTCTGAATGAAGCGGAAAGCCGCCTGGATATCCTGCATGGGGTAAACGGTAACAGGGTGGACCGGCTTCACCAGCTGCTGTTCGACCAGGCTGACGATTTCACCAAGCGCACGGTGCACATCGGGTCCTCGGCGCTGCAAGAGGGTTGGGATGTCCATTGATATGAAAGAAATGCCGCGAGAGAAAGACTCGAGTGCCATCAGGCTGTTGCTCTCGATATCTGCCTTACCGATATGCATCAAATAACCGAGAGGTGCAACTGTGCTGAGACTATCCTGGAGTAGCGGACCAGAAAGTGAGCTGAGCACGAGGTCCACACCGCGTCCCTTGGTAGCAACCAGAACAGCCTGGGCAAAGGATGCGTCGCGGCTGGTGAAGATACGCTCAGAAGGGATGCCGTATTCGCGCTCGAGAAGATCTCGCTTCCCAGGGGAGCCGACTGTAGCGTAGATCTCTGAGACACCCAGGTGCTTGGCCATCATGATTGCGGCCTGTCCGATGGCCCCAGCTGCAGCATGGATGAGGACTGACTGCCCAGCTGTCAGGCTTGCGCTCCTGATGAGACCAAAGTAAGCAACAGTAAAAGCCAGGGGAAGCGATGCAGCGCTAACAAAGTCCATGTCCTTTGGCATCTGGATGACCCAATGCCATGGGACGCGGACATTGCTGGCAAAAGATGCGCCGGTCGAAAGAGCCAAGACATGGTCACCGACCCTGTAGCCTTTGGTCAGAGCCTCAGAACCAAGTCGCGCAATGATACCGGCACATTCGAAGCCCATGGATTGATCCTTGAGCTGGCCCATAGCGGCCATGACATCGCGGGAGCAAGCCCCATGAGCTCGAGGGGTGATCTCCACAAGTTCTGGCGATAAGTCCCCACGGTTTTCTTCATTGTCAACAAAAGCGAGCGTGTCCAGGTGTCCTGGGATGCCGACTTGTAACCGGAGTTGTCGGTCCTGGAAGAGGCGCTCTAAGGGAATGCTGCTCTCGCCCTGGTCACTCCAGCTCGGCACAAGCGGGGAAGTGACCATGTTGTTGTATTGCTCGTCCTTGTAGTAGCGGGGAATATGCAAGACACCATTTCGCTCGGCGTACTCGAACTCGGCTGGACCGGTTTGAGTGCTGCCATGCCCAAATCCCTCTTCGAGGACCTGTACGATGGCCGACACGGCGAGGTCTGCACCCGAGGGCCAACCAGCTGCATCTTCATCTGCATGAACAGGGTCAAGGTCCACGGAGATGAAGTGACGGCTGATGTATTCGTTGCGCAGCACACGCAAGAAGCCCTGGTGCACAGCCCGTTCGGGGGCCTCACTCTCAACAGTCCCACCAGTCGTGACCCAGAGTAGGCCACTGCACTGCGTGACCATTGCGCGGAGGCCATCCATCCGCACTGCATCGAGGTCTGCCAGAATAGGCCAGTCAAGCTCGCCAATAAACACACAGATCTTGTCCTTGTATGTGTCGCCGCTGTTCCTTTCCAACACGAGGTGCGCCGTGGCGGTACCGGTCAAGGCCTGAATGCGCTGGCACAACTGATCAACAATGGCGGGTGACGGAGGTGTCTTGACGCTGGAAACGACTGCAAAGCTGTCTTTAACCTTGCTCAGGTCGGCTTTCTGGTCCTCGGCAGGCACAGTGGACATGATGACGCTGTTGGTATGGATATCGCTCTCCAAGTCATGAATCTCAAGGTCGACACCACTGAAGCCCGCATCTTGAAGCACGGTGTCCCAGGACGAGACTGGATTCATGTCCTGCAACCAGCCTGGAAGTAGAGCCAAGACGAAATCCGCATCAACTTGATTCTTAGTCGTCTCCGCAAAGAGCAGCGTGCCTCCTGGCTTCAGCAGAGTGCGTACATTCCCCAGCGCACTGACCGGGCTCTTGATAGCGTGTAGAGCGTGCAAAGATACAACAATGTCGTAGCTCTCTGGTGTAAACTTCTGCTTGGATGGACTCTGCTCAATATCGAGTTGGTCAAACTGGAGCAAATCGGCCCAATCGGCAAGCTGAACACGCGCATCCTCCAATGATTCTGATGATGGCTCAGTGAGGTGCCAGCTGGCCAACAAGTTTGTGTCAAGGGTCTCCAGTATGCGACGTGTGGCGAGGGCACCAGTACCGCTCCCAATTTGGAGGACGCGAGCACCTGGGCCCTTGTGTGCAACCGTTTGTAGCAGAGCAGAGAGCTGCCTGAGGGATGATGACTGACGCATTGAGTTTGCATTGTATTCATCCATTAGGCTACTGACTTCTTCCACGCTGCGCTCACCACGAAGGATAGATGGGAGGAGGGGCCCAAGACGGCAGATCACCTTCTCATCAATGCTCCCCATGGACTGCTGAGACCTGCCAGGCTCCTCGGTAGCTTTATTTACCAATCCTCGTAGCAATGCGTAGTATTTGGCCAAATGTGGCTGAACCTGCAGTCCGGCCACATCCCCCGGAGTCAGCTCTCGTAGGGCATCAGAGGCATATGCAATGCACAAACGCTGTAGGCCCCTGACCACATCTGCCTCCTGATCAGAGTTTGTAGATGACAGATTCTTCTTAATATGTTCGAAAACCAGCGGGTTTCGAAGCGAAAGGTCAGGTCCCCAGACGAGTTTGCTGCACACCTCCTCCATCGAGGTGCTAGCTGAGCTACCCCTTCCCAACGACGCCAGCTCGACGCCCTGCATCTTGAGCACTGCGTTTTCCGTCTTGCCGTCGAAAACTGTAATATCGGCCCTCCCGCGTTGGGGGTCGTCATGAAGTAGGGATGTGTCGCACTGCAGCGTGTGGCCGATCTGGTGGCTGATATTGCTGGATATCCACATCGATCCGACAGACCGCGGAAGTTTGGGATCTTCCTGTAGCGCTCCAACGCTGGGGAGGGCGGAATAAAAAGCCACAACAATAGCATCGAGGGTGATTGGGTGCATCAGGCTGTTCTGTGCTGCCACCTCCGGGTCTGTATCAGACGAAGCTTCGTGGCGGATCGTGATGTCGCATATGGATCGCGGTTCTCGGCCATCCTGGATGATCTGGTTGGTGTTTTGGAAGAGAGGACCGTGATAGACGCTGCGTGCCCTGAGGTTGGCAAACAAGTCCTG